GGGAGAGGCAGCTGGGCTCCCCGGTCCTCGCTGAACTAGGGGGGCATGTGAGCCCTCCTTCGGAGACCGCTTGGGAGCGGAACGACCCGCGCGACGCCTATTTTGCTTCCTTTCGCCATGGGGCTACCTCTGCTGCTGGGTCTGCTGCTTTCCCGAGCCGGTAAATGTGGGGCTGCGGGAGAGACGTCTCCGTCCCCTTCATGCATGGTTAATCGGAAGAGCCTCCCCCATTTACTAATTCTTTGGGGCTAAAGGCTGCGCTGCGCGGGCTGTCGACGTCGCGCAGGGCCGCAGTTGGGTCGCGGGGAAGCACCTGGAGAGAATGGGGAGTTCTGCCTGCACTCCCCAAAAGACCTCTCTGATCTTCCTCCCGTCTAAGGGCAATTATTAAATTGGGTGTCCGGCTGCGGCTTTTTCTTCCTATATCAGATATGATTATGGACCGGTCAGTCTTCGCTTTTTAAAAACATTTTAAATGTTTTCTTTGCTTTCTCACTCCCAATGCACAAAGCGGCTTTGGTTGCAATTCTGGGTGCAACTTGTTGGTTGGCAAGACGCTCTCCCGCCTGGGAGCTTATTTCCTCCAAGCATGCTTAGGATCGGGCATTAGATTTCCCTCTCCGAGGGGTCGTCCAGATTTCTTGTGTGTACGCGCGCTCGTGCCTCAGATTTGCAGGTGAGGACGCGAAGGGCCAACGCTCTCTGTCCGATGTCCCATTATTCGCTAGTCACTTTGGGTGTGTGCGGGCCACGCGGGTCCCTAGTGACGTTATTGATGGGTGCTGCGAGGGGAAAGAAGGAGAATGTGTTGGACGTGTGCAGTTGGGCGGGGAGGGATCGTGTGGGGCCCCATTTTGTCCCTTGTGGAAATGGAAGTGGAAAATACCCTGGTCACAAATTTTGTTCTCAGCGGCAGGCTGAGCTGTTCCACCGCATAAACTTTCAGCAGGTGCCTGCCAAGATTTTTCCAGGCTAGGAAAGAACAACAATCCTTTTTTTCAGCCAGAGACTTAGAGCTATTTACCAGCATGTTGTAGAAGCACTTTACAACAGGCAGCTCATTCACTTAAGTATTAGGAAGAGAATTGTCCTAAGTAATGCTACATTAGATAATGGTATTTCGAGAACAGAGAATTTAAATAAAAGGGTTTTCATTCACGAGACTTATAATTTTGTTTTTGTTTATATTTTGCTTGTAATCTTCAATGGCAACCATGCAGTTTAAAAAACCTTCCTGTGATTTCACGTTTGTCAGGGCAGTTTTGCTGTTTATGGGCTGCTCTGAAGAGAGAGCTTCCCTAGAGCACCAGTGGAGAACCCTTGGCTGCCAGACGTTGAACTGGCTATGCAGATGTTGACTTTGGGGAGTTGCAATTCAGCAATGCCCGGAACCCAGAGATTTTCCATCCCAGGATACAATTTGAGAAGGTCCTTTCGTCTAATCTATTTCATTTAATTTATCTATATCAGTTCTAAGATAGTGCAGACTAGAAAGGAGAGGATGGCCAATTTAAAAATAACCCATCCTCTATTTAATTCATTAATAATCCAGGGAAATAAATCACACCATGAATTCAGATCTCCTGAATAAGATGTGTGTATCAACCGTATTTGTAAAGTATGTTTAAAACATACATTCCTGCAGTAACACCAGTCAAAGTGCCTTATCAAGTGTGAAAACACCAATTTATTTTCTACTCTTTGTTAATAACGTTTGTATGTGATTCTATCTAAATTAATAAAAAAAAGAGAAACTTCCATTTTATTTATTTATTTATTAATCAAATTTATATGGCCGCCCCTCTCACAAAAAGTGACTGCGCAGTGTACAACAATCCTATAAAACAATAAATATAGTAATTATTAAAAACATTAAAAACTATAAAAACAAACTATTATAACTGGAAAACTATTGACTTTTTTGTTTGTAGGATACAATGGGTTCCTATATTTGACAAAATGCAAGATTCAAGTTGATTGGATCCAGATTTGGGCATTTGCAACTGGGTTCCGAGAAGCAAATTCTTTCTATTCTTCTCCAGCCTTCTCAAATGCTACACCTAGAATTGGAGATCCATCTTAATAGGAAAGGCTATTGTTAATTACATTTATGTTTCATCATTCCTGCTGAAGCAAAAGGTGCTATACGTATTTTCTCAACCCCATTTTACCCTCACAACAATTCTGTGGGGCAGCCCATTGTAGCCATTAGTTATTTATTTAAACATAGTTCACTGACTAAGCCACAAAGAGTGTGTTCACATATAATGCTAAGCCCATGGTTTACAAACCATAGTGTCTAAGTTTACACATTGCACTATATGTGTCAGAAACAGACCAATGAGATAATGACTTAGCAAAATGTATGAACCAGTAATGATTGGCCCCAGGTCAGCTTCTTGGCTGAATGGGAATCTGAATTTCATTCTTCCAACATTGCTAGGAGGCTCTAACTACTTGTACTTCAGTTGCTGAAGAACCATTTGGAACCGTTTCCTATTTCATATGATTGCTAGCCAGCTGGGAACAAGCAGGATCTGAGGGCAGTAGCTCTTGTCCAGTGTTGTTCCCCAGCAACTGGTGTTCAGAGGGGTGTGGTCTCTGTTCACGGAGGTACTATATACTGTATAACCATCAAGACTTATACATTTCATTGTAATAGTAATTAACAAAATAATTAATGGCAAAATGTAGTGTAGCCTCGTCCCTGTGTTTTGCCACTGACTTTGGCTAGGTTGTCACATCATACTACATCAAACCCAAAAAACAACTCTGTGGTATACCGTGCAGTCTGAACCTAGTATTTACTGAAACAGTTTGAGCTAGCATTAAATCTGCCAACATTTTTCCTGTGCTGAACTCATGGAGGAGGTCACAGTTATGACTTCTCTAGCTGCTTCTCGCAGAGCATTAAAATGGTATAATAGTTAAAACTAGATAGTTTTTTTTACTTCCATATGTTGCACTTATGGTGAGAAACAATTGTTCTCTCCTTATAAACTTTGCCATTTCTCTGAAGTGTTCATGTTATTTTTCATGTTATTTGTTGTTAGCCTTCCCAGGCCAGACTCATGACACATAGTGAATCAGAGGTATAAAGACTGGTAGAATAGGTTGTAGGTATCATTGCTCAATGAAGAAAAGTCTCTGATAAGAGATACAGTGGGCAGTGTTACCAGATATATTCCAGGGATTGACAAATTCAAAATCACTTCCCAATATATACATAATATATCTTTAAACAATGGCAGAAGTATGTTTTAGTACATTAATTCAGTTTCCACACACTGAAGAGTTCCAGTCTCTTCAAATTATTATTATTTTTCCTTTACAAATATATGCACAGCATATGGAATCAAAGTATTCAAGTGATCTCTTTGGGGACTGCAAAATTATAAAATACTGTATTCTAATTATGAAATCTGAGTGCAGTTGGGTAGATTAGCAATCAAAATCTAAAAATATAAAATAAAGTACAACATGTAGGTTAAATGAGATAAAAATAGACAATAATAATGCAAAATACAAACAGAAGTAAGAGGGTTTTTTTAATTGAATGAGTCTTATAGAAAGGTTTGAATGGTGTTCGAAATCTCAGGATCTCTATTACTTTAGTCTGCCTGGGAGCATGAACTCTGGGGTGCAGGAATTGTTTGAGAAAGAATGGGTATAGGCATATTGGGGGAACATAAACAGAACATAAACTGCTCACGTGCAAGTCCCAAGTTAAGCTACAGCAGAAAAATAAAGCCAACCAGTTTCTATGTGATGGTCATTTCCATACAATGCTGAGCAAATACCTACCATTTTCAAGGACAACATCAGGAATTACTTCGAAATCTGAAAGTCATATAGAGGGAACTGGAGGAACTGTGGAATGAAATCAAAGAAATTGTTAAAGTTGAATATGAAAAGAGACAACCAAAGACCAAGAAACAAGAAAGCAAACTGAATGTCAGATGAAACAGTGGAAATTGCCAAATAGAGAAGAGAAGCCAATCCAAGAAAGACAAAGATCTCAGGAAGGAATTTGTTTAAGGAATTCTTTATTAAGAATTTGAGAGAGCTGTTAAAAGAGATAAGAAGCAGTATTGCTAAAGATCGCTAAAGATATTGAAACAGACAGGGGAAAAAAAGGAAAGTCTTTCAAAAGATCTCCAAGGTTAGACGAGGTTCCACCTTCCTAAAGGATGGAATACTAAAGGATGCCAGTAGACAGATAGAAACTGATTCCAAGATCAAACAAAAATGGAGAGAGTATAATAAAATTCTGTACGGTAGAGATGCCAACATCCAAGGTATCTTAGAAGACATTCCCTATTCACAAGAACCTTTAGTACTAGAAGATGAAAAATCAGCACTCCAGTCATTACCAAACAGGAAGGTTATAGGAATTGATGGAACATCTACAGAAATATGGCAAGCAACAGAAGAAAAATCAGTAAAGGTTCTAACCAGATGATGTCAGCAAATCTGAAGAACGCCATAGTAACCAACAAATTGGAAGAGGTCAGTCTGTATACCAATACCTCTCCATGCAAATAGAGGTGCCAGGTGTTCAAACTGGTTTTAGAAAAGGCCAGAGAGCGAGACAAATTATAGCTGATGTACTGTATGCTGGATAACTGAGAAAGAAAGAAGAAAACCAAAAATAAGTCAGTATATGCTTTATGGAAGCAAAACATAGACTTTGAAGAAACAGGATGGAAAGAATATTGACATTTTTGAACTTTGGTGCTCAAGACAATTCTTGAGACAACCGCAGCTGGCAAAAAACAGACAAGCAGATGGATAATAAATCAATTCGGAATTCTCACTTGAGGCACAAATGACCAGGCTCAAAATATCATACTTTGGACACATTATACAAACACCTAACACTCTTGAGAACTCTATAATGCTGGGAAAGGTGGAAAGAAAGAGAAGAAGACAGCCAGCAGCAAGATGGATGGACTTAATTATAGTGGAAATAGGTATACTGTTGGAAGACTGGAAGAGCCAAGATAGGGGCAGATCATTCTAGAGAAGCACCTTTCATGTGGTCCCTAAGAGTTGATACCAACTTGATGACACATAAATTGATCAAAAGATGTTTGAAAATTGAAATAATTTTTGGGAAAAGGGGTTTAGGAGGAGGTGTTGGGACAGAAGGGAATTTTAGAGACTCTGGGTTCTTTTCCAAAACTCAATTAAAGTTCTGTAGCCAGGGAAAAAAATGAAAATCAGCATAGATTTTGATATCCTCAGTGTTAGCCCTAATTCTCTTTGTTCAGGTTTGTAGCTAAAAGATGGTGGTGCCCTCCCCATTTCTTCTTAGTGTCATCAGATGGTATGAAAACTTTCTGCCATTGGTTTTAATAGATGGCTAGACTTGCAGACCTGTTAGAACTCTTCCCACTTCTCAAAGAAATCTCACAGGACATTGTTGAGTCGAACAATGAAAGAAATTGGGCCAGTGCCAGGCTGACTCAGCCATGGAAGCCCACTGGGTGACTTTGGGCCAGTCAATCTCTCTCAGCCCAGGCTGCCTCACAGGATTGTTGTTGGAAAAAATAGGAAAAGCGAGCCCTATGTACAGCACCTTGATCTCATGGATGAAAAGGCAGAATATACATTTTAAAAGAGAGAACAATGCATATACATGATTATACATGCACACACATGCTTCAAACAGGGTGGGATTGGTAAGGCTTTACTTTAGAGATAGGATGCCTCTCAAAAGAATATTGCTATTTAAAAAAAATATTTTTTTAATTCCCTTGGACTGTCTAGAAAAGGGCTGGTTGATAATGGAAGCCAGTTTCTGAACCACAAAATAACAAAGGGCTTTTAAAAGGAACGATCATGCCACTGTACCATTCTATACACTTCTTTCTACCCACCCTTTGAAGATGCTTTTGTGCTGTATCCCTTGAGAATTTCCCTTCAGTGTATCTGACCAGCCCAGTTTTGCTGTTTTAGGTTGAGAGATTCTCAGGCTTCATCCACTGAAGCAAGAGGCAGTTTTGGTTGTGATATCACTAGGAAAAGAGTAGGGAATCCTCCTTCTGACTCTGTAGGAATCATGTTCAGAGATGGCCTGCTCCACGTAGTAGTTGTTTTGTGTCCTCTCTAAGCACTTCCTCCCTGGGAAGATTGAGAAAAAAAGAGGAAATTTGGGGGTTTATGGTTCAGCAATTCTGCTTCGCTAAAAACAAGGGTTACTCAAATAGAATAGGTAAATTATGGTGTTTGGTTTCTGAGGAATCCAGTTATAAGACCCCCACCAAAGAATACAAAAGCTGGAGTATTTTTTATTAGCTTTGGTTGAAAACAAAGCAATTTTTCAGTTTGGTACAAAGTAAAAACTAAATCCATCGTTCAGAAACGATGTGACTTCTCTTGATTGACCTATTAGCTAAGAAATCTACCTTTGATTGAATTAGTACAGGATCAGAGTATATTGATAAGATCAATCAGCCAGGAGATGCCTCTATGATATTTTTGCCAACATCCAGGTACTCAGCCAAACATGCAGGTTACTTAAGACCTTTTCCTTCCTCAACCAGAAAGAATATTTTAACATTTTTTTTTAATCAGATTAGTAGAGCAAGATTCTTTAAATAATACAGTAAGGGATCTTCACTCTCCCAGGGCCCAAACTTAACCATAACTTTAACCTTTTAACTTGCTGCTCTTTTCCAAAATCAAGGAGAAAAAGGGATCAAAGTTGATAATCTTGCACATATTCAGAAAGTTTTTAAAAAGTGGTGCTCTATTTAGGTAAATGAAGTGTATCTTATTTTGGACAAGATCTTATTGATAACTTAAGCTCTGAGTGGTAGCCTATGCTCAGGATTAACCTATTTAAAAGTACCTAGCTACAAATAAGATTTAACTGAGCAATCTTCCTGTACTGAGTTTATGCCAAGGAATTTAATGCTATTGTACTAGTGCAAGGTCATGCCACACCTATACTAACTATTCTGCCCATGCAGAAGCAGGAGAGAGGGACAGCAAAACTGACAGATTTCCTCCCCAGTAATTATGGCAGCAACATTGGGGTCCACCTGTCAACAGTCCAAAATAAGTTGATCTATTCAGGTTATTGTAATGGGCGAAATATAATGTCAGGGAACACTTCTGTGCTGTATCAAGAAAAGCATAAGAACAAGACTATAGAGCAGAGTATCAGAAGGACAAATTGATAGATTCCAACCACATGCTGCTAAGGACATACCCAATATTCAGTACCAAAACATAATCCTACCTCTTATCACTTGAGAACTTGGGCAGCTGCTATCCTAAGATATCTTCATTCAAAAGTAGAGTAGTTAAAATAGGAACATTGAACTCTCCAATAAAGCTATACAGAATTAGTAAAATAAAATTCATGCTTATAGCCCTAGTCATATGAACAAGGGGGGAACTAATTTATAATGAATAATTATGAGAATGTTTTCAAATAGTAACAGCATTTCTAGATTGTTGGATTGTGATGACATCAAGGCTCCTTAAACTCTAACTGAAAAGAACTTGAGATTGTGAAAGCTTTGGAAATCAGGGATGAGAAGTTGGTTGCAGGATGAATATGTGAAATGTTAGTATCTCTGTTATGTGCATTATTTGTTTTTTATTGGGGAATCAAAACATCAAGGTAATTTTTAAAAAAATTAAACAAGAGACAGAAGCAAAAGCGAATAAAAAAGAATTAAAAAATTAAATGTAAATGTATCACACAACATGTACATATGTGTATTTCTTAACGCAAACATTTTAACTATCCATATTTAAAATTTCTAGGCAGACAGATATTTGTACAGATTAAGGTAATCTGTTAGGAAAAACATTGTTAACATAGCTAATAAATGATGAGCAGAGTTGAATATTTTTCCTTCATTGTAGTTTTTTTTTCAAAGCTCTCTGCTATTGTGTTTATTTTTTTAACCAGAACAATTGCCCATACTTTTAATATCATTAATCCAGTGAAAGTTGTATTTCATAGAATCATGGAATGTAAGGGTTGAAAGGGATCTATTTATTTTTCAATGTTTTGCAGTAACAAATCTAGCCACTAATAACAAATTAAACTGACTTTTAAATGAGTTCATTTATATTCCTCAGGAAATGTGAACAATAAATCAACAACCAGATTCATTGTAAAAGATGATTGGGTGATTTTCCCAATTTCTTCAAAAACTTTTACCCAAAAGGACCAACTAATTGGAGGTGACCACCAAAAAGGTAGCAGTTTGCTTACAACGCTGCCAGCATAATCTAGAAAGGTTATAATTTATTTAGTGTCATTTAGTATCAATTTAACATTAGTACTATTACCTGGGGGTTATCTTCATGGTCAGTTTTCCTTGCCTTGTTGAAATATATTTAAAAGGAGTTGTGTGCCACAAAAGATTCCAATGAGATTAATCAAGTTCAGATTCCAGCTGATCCTTGCAGAGTTTTTAAAGATTTAATACAAGAGGTTTTTTTATAATATATTAGTATTACCAAGAATCCCTTGCTTTTAAGTGAAGTAGGTCTACATCATTCTTCAAATGTTCTTAATGCTCTAATTGATGCAATCTAGATAATTTATGAAGGAATTATTGAACTTGACTCACTTGAAACCAAATTAGAATGTGAAATTATGAAGGCTTTTTTGGAAACCAGCACTATGAGATGAGAAGTTGGCTGCAGTATGAATATATAAAATGATAACGTTCCTTCTTGTCCCAAACAGGAGGATTCCAAGTTGTGTCCTCTGAGGAGCCAAACAACTGTGTAACAGCTGAGACCCTTTGTATAGCTGACCTTTCCTGCAGTGCCACCTATCAGACACTGCAAAACTGTTCCCACCATCTTTCTAAGAACAGTTTTATCCTTCTGCACCATGAAGCCAGGAACAGATGCACAGAGGCACAAGTAAAAATGAGAAATAGTCATTTTCAGCACTGCAAATGTCACCGACGTGCACAGAAGAAGGAAGAGCGGTGCTTGCAAATCTACCAGGCTCTTCATTCAACTTTAACACAAGGTGTGATAGAAGCTTGATGATGATTGATTTTCTTGTATTGCTAGAGGTAATAGAGAAGAGTATCCAACATTCTGGTAGAAACAAATGCTTAGACCTAAGAGGAAAATAAAAAACAGTATATTTACTGCATCAACATCTGTAATCTCATTACGGTCTTTCCCAGCTTTGCCACTTGAGACTTTTAAAGTAAAGTGGCTGGGGACTGAAGTCCATCCCCCTTACGCTCAGGGCTCTGAAGGAGCACTGTTCATCATAATAAGCCATGACATATTTTAAGCTTTCAGAACCCGGAGTGGCCTCATTCACACATCGTTAAGCCATTAACCAGGGACTGTTCAATTTCAGGAGCCATACTTAAGACTTGAAGGGAGGAGGAAAAGCTGTGCTGGATAGGCAATGATACAGAAGAGATGGTTTTTTTTCTTACATGTAAGTGGGCCTAGGAGTTTCTGCTTTATTCCTAAGTTTTGTGGGTGGGTGGGGTGTCCTTTTAAAAAATGTTATAACCTGTTAGAAAGCCTATAATATAGGCATGTGTTTTATGCCTTAAAAGATGAGAAATGCAGTGCCATTCTTTGGCAAGCATAAAGAGGTAGTGGTTGTCCAGGGGCCAGAAAAAAGGGGTGAAGGACTGGCCTAAGACCCCATTTGGAAGTGCCCCCTTTTCCTAAGATTGTTTCTCAGGGCTGTTTGTGGCAGAGAACAAAAATAACTCTTATTCTACATATCTCCTGGTTGAAAACCATTAGAATCCCATTGGCAGGCTCCCTGGTTCAAACTCAGCAGGAACTACCCAGATGCTTGACACAGCATGGCTACAGTAGATAAGAATCTTTATTGCATACTGAATGAAGCCACTTTAAGCAGGTTATCACCCTCTGTCAATATGAGAGTGTTGTTCCCTCTTACACCATTGCAGTTTAAATTCAGCACTCCCCCCCCCCAACTTTCCCCCAGCTTAATGGACATTTTGCTTTGCATTTTTCAATACCCCTCTGCCATATCCTCCCATCTGTCAGCCAGCAGGAAAACAAACTAGTGTAGATTTTGCTACCCCTATTACCAATCCCAGTTACTTCTGTTTCCAGTAAGAAGATGGTGTCCCTATTTCTTGTGTAGGGAAAGCTACCTTCCCTCCCAGCTGGGTCTAGGAGAGGGAATGGTTCCAGCTTCTTTGAAAGAGGCAGTCATCAGGATGCTTCTGAAGAAACCAAATCTGGACCCAGAGGATGGAAACAACTATAGGCCAGTGGCCAATCCTTCCTTCTGAGGCAAGGTGCTTGAGTGGGTGGTGGCCGATGAACTCCATGCTCTCTTGGAAGAAACTGATTTTCTAGATCCATTTCAATCCAGTTTAACGCCTGCTATGGAATAGAAACTGCCTTGGTCACCCTGTGAGATGACCTGTGCCAGGAAAAAGAGCGGGGAGTATGATCCTGTTGGTCCTCCTGGACCTCTCCGCAGCTTTTGATACCTTTTGGAGAGGCTGCCTATCAGCCCTACAAACCAGACTAGGCAGTCGAAGTTATGAATGCTAATACTACTTTTTTTGGTAATGTTACAGTAACAGAATTTTGCACTGAATGCACTTCCCCCTCCCTCCCTTTATCTTTGTGATAACTAGGGAGGGCTAAGTCTGAGATGCTTTCCCAAATTATATTTCTGTCTCAGACTCAAATTTCTTTTATCTGACTATTGCCTTGCTTGCGGCTCTTCCTCCTATTCCTCAAGGTTATTTCTACTTCCCATTACAGGCTAAAACCAATACAATAATAGATCAGGACTACTTTTATTGTAACAGCTATAGTAACAGAATCTTGCAAGTCTGAATGTGCTTACCTCCTCCCTCCCTTTATCTTTGTATGAACTATGGAGGGCTTGCCTGACATTTTCTCAAGTTATTTTCTTGACCCAGGCTCAAATCCCACTTATCAAGCTCCTGCCTTGGTCACAGTTCTTTCTCCTGTCCTTCAAAGCCATTTCCTCTCCCCTCTACACTGTCAGAGTTGGGATGTAGCAGACCTGTGCTTCAGGGGTTCCACTCCTACCTGGATGGCATTTTCCAGAAGGTGGTGCTGAGGGACTACTCTTACCTTCCGGCAGCTGTGTTATGGAGTCCCTCAGGGCTCCATTTTATCCCCTTTCCTCTTTAATATCTACATGAAACTTGCTAGGAGAGGCCATCTGGGGATCTGAACTGAAATGCCATCAGCACGTGGATGACACTCAGCTCTACCTCTCCTTTTCATCTAACAAAGGTGAGGCAGTTGGCGTTCTGAACCAGTGCTTGGGCAGGGTAATGAACTGTGTGAGGGCCAGTAAACTGAGACTCAATCCAGACACGGCAGAGGTACTGTTTGTGAGTGGTGCATTAGTCCAGCTGAGTGGTGTCTTACCTGTCCTGGAGAAGTCCACACTTGCCCTAAAGGAGCGGGCTTACAGTTTGGGAATCCTCCTAGATCCATCACTATCACTAGAGGCTCAAGTGCCCTTGATGGGAGGGAGTGCCTTCTATCAGCTTTGGCTGATTTACAAATTGTGACTTCGGTGTAGAGAGTAAGGAAGATGACCTTGACAGACATATGCAGGCTCCATTGCCAAGGCAACAGGGGCTAAAGCAGAAGATCCAGATAACATTTGGAAGTGGCTCAGATAGATACCTCCCTAATATACTGAACTATAAGAAGGAGAAGGAGGTCCATGAAATTGGGAGTCACAAGTTTCTGTTATTATAGCCAATCTCAATGAAAGTAGTGGCAATCATCCTGTGGAGTTGATTCATGGTCTGGTATACTTAGCGGGGCTGGCACTTGCCTGGACAGAGACAGCCATGCAACAGTTATTCCCGCTCTGGTAACTTCCTGTTAGGATTATTGCAATTGTAACTGGGGGTGCTTTTGAAAACAGTCTTGAAACTTAGTTCGAACTAGAGTAGCTAGACTGTTCACTGGGACTGGCTGATATGAACATATTATGCCAGGTGTTTGCCATCTACACTGGTTGCTAGTCTGTTTAAGGACCTAATTCAAAGTGCTGTCTTTGACCTTTAAAGCCCTAAATAGCCTAAGACCAGATTACCAAAGGAAGGGTGTGATTGAGGTTCCACTCATTTTTTATGTGTAACCACAGCCTGCAGATACACCACCCCTGACCATCTGTCAGAATTTGCTACCTGTTCACCTGCCACCTCTCCTGGTGTGGAGATCAGTTGCTAGGGTTAGGAGAAGTGGTTGACCTGATTCCTAGCTCAGAGATCTGGATCAGCCCAACTAGCTGATAGCCCATATCACAACTGACTGGGATGGGGTATGCAAGCCAGCTCTCTGCCACTTCACTGTGCAACCCCACAGTGCCTGGCAGCTTTTGTTCAGGCTGTTTTGAACCTAGTTCAGCCCTTAACCAGAGGAGCACTATACAGTACTTGTATTTAAAAAAAAAAAAACTCTACAGGTTAGGGTGGTCTTCTGGAACAGCATTCAAATTGGGTTTGAAAACAGCCTAAATAATTGACGCCAGATGTGGTGGTGGGGTTGTATAGAATAGCTGTTTTTCTGCCACTTCATTCATTCTGTCACCCGTTGTTTGAGTTGCTTTTAAACATAGCTGTAGTGCTAAACCTGTGTCAAAAGCAGCTGAAACAACAGATGATGGTTACTGTGGGAAAGCCATCTCTCTCTCTCCAGCTCCACCTAGCTCTGTCAGCTATGGCTTGGTTAAGAGTACTGAACCCATGTTCAAAGGCAGTCCAGACAAAGCTGACAAATGTGGAGTAGGGGTTACATTGGGAAATGGCAGAAGGGGGAGCTGGTGTTCTCTCTCCATTTTATTGCCACCACTGGTCAGCTGCTATTTGGGCTGAACCAACTCTCCAAACTGGAATTGGCTCAGAGACCTGGCTAGCAAAGAGGAAGGCCCAATTTGAAAGAATAGGACATTCTCGCTTCTGAAAACAGAAGAGACTTAGAGGACAATGCCCAGGAGGTGATGGGTACTTGTCTGCACCAACCTAAATTGACTAATAGGTGCTAGGCTGATGCAACCTCCTAGGGGGTCACCTGACAGCACCAACACTAAGCCATTAAAATGTATTAAATTGTATACGTAAAACTGCTGCAATTTGTTGGCTCTTAAGACAGAAAGTATCGCTTGACCACTGGAAAACTAACCTACCTCAAGTATGGTTTGGACAAAGTCACGATGACACAGCAGAAAAAAGGGCTGCTGGGGGTGTCTGTGCTGTGATTAGGTACAAATGGCCTTGGTGCTAGGATGACGTAACAGGCATTCCTGCTCTGGAAAACTAGCTCTCAGTATAACTTGCAAACCAGTTCTTTATTTCCCAGAAGCTTTATTGAACCCACTTCCCCCTTTCAAGTGATTATAAATTATAAAGTGGTTATACTGTATATAAAACCAAGGTGTAATATCCATTTTGGAATATATGTATGGAATATACAGGTGAAACTCGAAAAATTAGAATATCGTGCAAATGTTCATT